AGAGAGAGAGAGAGAGAGAGAGAGAGAGAGAGAATGATATTCATTTCCTCTCAAAACCAACCAAATTACACCAACTGCAATCCCCTAGAATGAAGCTAATATCGCAAGGTCCCATGCCAGAAACGGGATTGTACCAGAACGTAGTTTTAACCCTTTAAGAACGTTGCAGACACATAACAGAAATATCAGATCAGAAGCAAACCAAAATCAATGCTTGGGCACATTTTGCATCCCTTCCGGTAAACAAATCTGTAACATAAATTTGCATATTCACCGTATGCATTTTAATTCCTGCCTTTTTATTTTTCATGCAAATACAATAGAATTTTTTAAAGTGTTACTGTATTCCTATGCAGTTGCGAGCACCGTAAAACTCTTACTAAAACAAACTGTATTACTATTGAAATTGTACTTCTTTTTTAAAGTTCCCCTCAAACAGCACGTCGAATGACCATTGTGCTTGTATTCAATCAGTTAACAATGTTTTAGCAGATTTCGAACCAACGTACACAAAGTAGACACTCAAACTGACGTATTTCACAGTGCAAATGTTGTTACTTGCTTTCCGACAAAGAAAAAAGAACTGAAAAACATAAATGGATCGCTACCTCAGAAATGCAATTTAATATCCTTCTGACTTTTTGGCTTTATCGAGTTACTAAGACCGTGAGGTCAGAAACCAAATTATTATGTTCTCTCTTCTGCTCTATCAAGAGATTAATCTGGGTTGTTATCAAGATATTCAAAGAAATGCATTCAAAAATGCGTGACAAGATGTGAAATTCAAAATCTTTGACGTAGGTCAACTAGGTATTGAATAGATAGAACATTGTAATTCTGAGATAGCAGAATAGCTCGTCTTCAACTACAAATGACAAAATGCGTGTACTCAATGAGTTAAATAAAACTTTCAGCAACTTGTCCAACAACGTAGAACCCTGGAAAGTTATCAAATTACGTGTATTTGGATTTGACGGGTATGAAGACGCGTGTTCCTACTTACAGTAGTCCGGTCGAAAATTCGTGGCGCAGCTTATCCTCAATAAATATCTCTTCAATGGGTGAAACAATGTCATTCATACTTTGCACAGCAGTTTGTATCAATTTTTCTTAACTTAATCATATTTTTCCACAACAATTGAGGCTATATTAAAAAAGTTTTCTTCATAAATGTCTCTAAATATCCGTCACGCGGAAAATTGGAGTGTTCACCGCACTTCCCGCTTCTCACACACATCTTGCTTACGTATATGGCCTACGTCATAGCTCACCAATGACCCTTTTTAATGGGGAAAACTTGTTACCAGAATTTAAATTTATAGTGAACACATTTTTGGCACTAAAGGTTCTGAAAACATGCGTTTTATAAGCACAATGCCGCGATTAGAAAAAAATGATGGACTCGCTTTCAAAAACGATATTGCTCTAGCTGCAAACTTTTTAAAGTCTGTAGAAACCATTGATTGGGATTTTTTATTAGTATTTATTTTGGTAACTTTTAGAATACGCTGTACATGTGTTTGGAAAATATTAATCTGTAAAGACAAATTAATATAAGTCACAGAGCAAACGTTAGTGAATCCCTTTCGATAGTTAAGGAGATATTTGACTATAAGTTGCGCAACGAATTTTTGACCGCACTATACTCCCGCCTCTTAAATAACGTAACAGTGTTGATAGGAGCATTAAACCTTTACCACTTCACAATTTTTATTTAACCACAAGACATCGTAACTTTTATTCCTTCAATTTCTTCTATCTTGCAGGAGAAATATTCTCCTCTCCGGATGTATTGGCTATCGTCACACATTGACGGATGAGCTATTATTACTTAGTACTCTTTGGATTCAGTGTCTGCTACTTTAGCTATGGACCTCAAGATTAGCGAACTATACAAAACAATAGCACACCAGTCAAAAGTACTAGCTTTCAATTTCCCGATTTCAACTCAAAAAATCATCACGATAGGAGAATGATGATG